TTTTTTTTTCAAGGCATTTCTAATAAACACAATATTCAAGTCAGTACTGGACCAAAACACTAATTAAGGCTGCAGCCAAATGTACAGTTATTATCTGAATAATAAAATCAAAAGCAGGTTTTTGTGTTTATTTCCTGCAGTGTGTGAGTGGAAACCGTGTGATACTAAATATTCGAACCAAGCTCAATATTTTAAAAAAGTAGTCTCTACTTAAAAACTCACAAAATACAAACTGGTGGCATGGACTGGACCTTGGAACAAGAAAAAGAACATTAGTGGAAACTTACCTTGATACTTTCTGTTAATTCAACTCCAGACTTTTCAATTGTTCACTTTTATGAGTAATTCTTTGATGTGTATGAATCCTTATCACTGTTTCAGATTATTTCCTCAGGAAAGAGTCCAAGGAGCTACTGGTCAGCTGGCTTTTCTGGTCGGATCTTTTTAACACATGGTAAGAACCAAAATGTAGTTTGAGCTTATGGGATGGGGGCTTTGAAATCCAGGTCATGCAATTGATGGGAGGCACCTTTAATTTTTCCAGATCCTTTGCATTGGGCTGTATTATCGAGTCTCATCAAATAGCAAATGTTAACTGAGTGGTTAGTTAGTTAAGAATAAACATAAAGCCCTAACCGGTGTAGCTCAGTGGATTGAGCGCGGGCCTGCAAACCAAAGGGTCACCAGTTCAGTTCCCAGTCAGGGCACATGCCTGGGTTGCAGGCCAGTCCCCAGTGGGGGGTGCATGAGAGGCAACCACACACTGATGTCTCCCTCTGTTTCTCCCTCCCTTCCCCTCTCTCTATAAATTAAATAAATAAATAAAATATTTTTTAAAAAGAATAAACATAGATGACTAGGACTCTTCCTTAAGGTCACTCATTTGAAAGGGGGCATCAAAAACAACGTGTGAATACTCACATTGTTAAAACCCTCTCTAGTTTCTACTTTTCCCTCAATCTACAGTCTGTCCACTGCATGTGAGCAAACTGGAAAGAACACGCCCCCCCCCACATGGCCTTCATGCCCCCTCCAGCAGCGGACTGGCAGCAACACTAAGCGTTGTCAGAAATTTCTCAGCACGTGGTAAACAGGGTTCAGGAAAAGAGGAAGATAAGAATCATATAGACCAGCCTTACAGTCTGAACAAAAAAAACCTCAGATGGGGAATCATTCATTAACATTATCATTATTTCCCTCATCATTAATAGCAGATAATTCATGAACAACTACTAATATTGGGCTTGCTCAAACACAATAATTGGGTAAAGGAAATTATTTTAATAAAATTCTGACTTCCGGCCAAGATGGAGGCCTAGGTGGAAACATTGTGCCTCCTCACACAACCAAGTTTAAAGACAACAAAGTTTTAGTAACAAAAACGCAACCAAAACACAGAAAATTGAACTGTATGGAAGTCCGACACAACGAACCATTCAGCCAGACTTGGTAAGAGGGGCAGAGTCAGCAGCTGGAGGAGCAGGGTTGCGCAGAAAAAAGCGGCGGGACCAACCCACGCCCGAAGGCGGCAGTTGGCAGATCCCGGGTGTGGGGTGGCAATGGGCGGACCCAGTGAGGGCGAAAGGTGGCTGGCTGACCATAGTCACACATTCGAGCTCAGATAAACCAGGCCAAGAAGAGAGCAGTGAGACAGACCATGCAGGCTAGGGCCCCAGCAACGGGAATTAAAGCCTAAAAGCACAAATTGGAAAAACACTCGGGGTCCAGGTGCTGGGAGAAGCTCCCAGGCTCATAGAGAGTTTATTGGAGAGACCCACAGGGTCCTGGAGGGCGCACAGGCCCACACACCCGGGAGCCAGCACCAGGGAAGTCAGGTTTGCTTGCGAGAAGCAGCAGAGGGGACTGAAATCTAAGAGAGAGAGGAACAAACGCCATTGCCCCTCTCTGACCCCAACCCCACATACAGCATCACAACCCAGCCACTGGGTGGCCCCACCTGGTGAACACCTAAGGCTTTGCCCCTCATACGTAAAAGGCACAAACAGACCAAAACATTATGGCTCAAGAAGAAGAACAGCTCAAAGCCCCAAAGGAAATAATTCTAAGCAACCAAGAGATAGCCAACCTATCAGATGCCCAGTTCAAAACACAGGTGATCAGGATGCTCACAGAGCTGGTTGATTTTAGTCACAAATTAGAGGAACATATGAAGACTAAACTAATTGGAATGAAGGGAAATGCACAGAAAACCAATAGTAATGAAAAGGAAACTGGGAATCAAATCAAAGGAGTGGACCAGAAGGAAGAAAAAAATTACCAAAGAGAAAAGAAGGAAGAAACAAAAATTCAAAAAATGAGGAGAGGCGTGGGAACCTCCAGGACATCTTTAAACAGTCCAACATCCAAATTATAGGGGTACCAGAAGGGGAAGAAGAACAGCCACAAGTGGAAAACTTATTTGAACAAATAATAAAGGAGAACTTCCCCACTCTGGCAAAGGAAATAGACTTCCAGGAAATCCAGGAAGCACAGAGAGTCCCAAAGAAGTTGGACCCAAGAAGGAACACACCAAGGCACATCATCATCACATTAGCCAAGATTAAAATGAAGGAGAGAATCCTAGAAGCAGCAAGAGATAAGGGGACAGTCACCTACAAAGGAGTCCCCATCAGACTTTCAGTGGATTTCTCAAAAGAGACCTTACAGGCAAGAAGGAGCTGGAAAGAAGTATTCCAAGTCATGAAATCCAAAGACCTACAGCCAAGATTGCTCTTTCCAGCAAAGCTTTCACTTAGAATGGAAGGGCAGATAAAGTGCTTCTCAGATAAGGTCAAATTCAAGGAGTTCATCATCACCAAGCCCTTATTATATGAAATGTTAAGGGACTTATCTAAGAAAAAGAAGATAAAAAATATGAACAGTGAAAGGACAGCAAACTCACAGTTATTAACAACCACACCTAAAACAAAAACAGTCTAAGAAGACAGCTAGATCAGGAGCGGGACCATAGAAATGAAGATCACATGGAAGGTAAGTATGTTACCTTCCATGGGAATGGGAGAAGTAGAGGGGGGAGAAGGTACAGACAATAAGTAGCATAGACGGTAGGTAGAAAATAGATAGGGGGCAGGACAAGAATAGAATGGGAAACAGAATCTAAAGAACTTGTGACACATGGACATAAACTAAGAGAGGGGGAATGTTGGGGGAGGGGTGTGCAGGGTGGAGGGGAATGAAGGGGGAAATAGGACAACTGTAATGGTATGATCAGTAAAATATATTTTAAAAAAATAAAAATAAAATAAAATTCCTCTGACTATGACATACAGATTTTATAGGGTAAGAAATTCTAATAAAGTCTATGTCTTAAAGTGTTGACTTTATTTTTTTAATATTTTCTTTATTTATTTTTAGAGAGAGGGGGAGGGAAGGAGAAAGTGGGAGAGAAACATCAATGTGTGGTTGCCTCTCATGTGTCCCCTGCTGGGGACCTGGCCTGCAACCCAGGCATGTGCCCCAACTGGGAATCGAACCAGTGACCCTTTGCTCCATAGGCCCGTGCTCAATCCACTGAGCTACACCAGCCAGGGCGTGTTGACTTTATTTTTTAAGTAGTAATTCTTACACCTATCTTCCATTGTACATGTATAGTTTTTTTTCCTTTTTTAAAAAAGATTTTATTTTTTAGAGAGAGTGTAAGGGAGAAAGAGAGGGAGAGAGACATTGATGTGCTAGAAAAACACCAGTTGGTTACTCCTCACACACCCCCAACAAGGGATCTGGCCCACAACCTAGACACATGCCCTGCCCAGGAATCGAACCGGTGCCTTTACAGATCATAGGCCAGCGCTCAACTCACTGACTCATGCCAGCCAGGGCATAGTTTTCTAAAGTTATTACTTGTGGACAATTCTGAACTAAAACAATAAAGGAATTCTTTGAAAAACCCAGATAACTTTTTAACTGTCAGTACATCAACATTTTACCAGCCTGCAAGGTTTTACCAAAATTTTGAAGATCCTAAGAACCAGTAAAGTACAGTATAACTCAGCCGCCTAAAGCAGGAAAAAGGACAATCATATTCTGACTTTATCCGCATCTTATTTTTCCCAAATCTGATCCAACTGAAGCTTAGTTAATTCTCTTTCAGACTGACAGGCACTGAATCGTGCCAATAGGCAGAACATGATTTCTCATAAAATGCCCCTTTTCTTTATTTACACACAGATGAACAATGAGTTCCCATTCACTAATTTGGCACTGCAACAGTTTTCGTAATGGACACTGCAATGTCATAAAGGCTAGAATTCTGAAATGGAAATACTATTGCTATTTTGTTGTTAACCAACTCTTCTAATCACGTCATCTCCAAAATGACATATATGACTTCAACAAAAATGTATGTATGACTCAACAGATATGCCAATATGCCTTGTACTTCACTTGTCTCATGGAAAACCCAACCCAACCAGATGGAAGCCACCGAGCAAGGAATGGCTTAAAATGGCTAAAATTTTCCACAACTAATCCTCAAATCAATTGAAAAAAGTTTAATGAAGATCTGCCACCTAAATGGCAAATAAAATAATTGGAAATTATTATATATTATTAAAAGATAAGAAAGAAAGGAGATAAGAAAGGGAGGGAGAAAGGAGAAAACCTGAGAAGGAAGGGAAGGAAAAGACAAGGGGGTAGGGGAGGACGGAGGCAAGAAAAAAGGGAAGAACGGAAAGGAGAAAAAGTTCGTTGGAGGAGCAATTCTTTGACTTAGTCATGAATATGGGGGAGGTGAGGGGTGGTCATCAAAGTGGCATCTCTAGGCGATTCGAGATCTCTTGAGAAAATACTCATTGGAGTGGAAGAATATTCAATTCTTTGTTAAGCACACACAGGTGGTTCTCCAGCCCTCTCTCTTTCCTCCTTAGCTTGGATGCCATGACAACTATCATGTGACCCAGCAAACACTGTCCTCTCCAGGGTTGCAACTCAGCTTGAACCAGTCTCTGGCTGCAGGGAGCAGGTTGGTGGTGTTGTTTGAGATGCACAGGGCACGCCGGCTGACGCGTCCATGCAGAAATGAGTGGCTGCACAGCACATGGGAGAAAGCCTACCAGGATCACAGGAAAAAGGTAGGAAAAGCCAGAGCCAGGCCCTGAGAGCTCAGGGTGAGGCCCCCAAAGCAGCAACCATGAAATGCCAGGGCTTTCCCTGGAAACCAAAAGCTAATTTTCTTTTCAGAGATGGAATGGTTGAAATGACATTTGCTTAAAAAGTTGGTCATATACATTGCCATACAATAAAAATTTAATTAAACAGATTATGGGTTTGTGTGTCACGTTTTAGGACCATTCTTTTATCAATTAAGGCATATGTTTATAAATTACTTAATTTTTCATAGATTACTGAAAAGTAGCTTCAAACAAAAAGATTTAAAAGGCCCTGGCTGGTGCAGCTCCATGGATTGAGCACGGACCTGTGGTCACTGGTTCAATTCCCAGTCAGGGCACATGCCTGGGTTGTGGACCAGGTCCCCAGTAGGGGGCGTGTGAGAAGCAACTACACATTAATGTTTCTTTCCCTCTCTTTCTCCTTCCTTTCCCCTCTCTCTAAAAATACATAAATCTTAAAAAAAAAAAAAAAAGATCTGAAGGACCCTTTCCCCTATGAAAACAGCATACTCTGGTGGGGACAAAAAGGCAACTTTCATCTCCAGTGGGAGAGTCATCATGATTTTTACTTCATTGGATGTCTTTTTGAGAGGGTCACCATGTTGTTTGAAAATGACCTGCCATGGTCTTCTGCCTGTGAGACCTCAGTGGACCCATCCAACCGCTCAGCTGGTCATATCTCCCCAGCTGTGTTCATCGAGGCTGAGAAACACTCCAGGGAATGTTCTGGAAGAGGCTGCTGCTCTGTGGTTCTGCAGCGACCCCTGTAAAGTGATCCCCCTGGGTGGCAGACCCAGGCAAGCCTACCTACTCCTTGCGGGTTCTGCCTGCCTGGGTTGTGGTGTGATACAACGGCTTCAGGGGAGCTCAGGTGGCACTTGCCCAGTGCCCACATGCGCAACTGGGCCCTGAACCCACCGCCCCCTTGAGAGTCCCAGTGACACGCTTCCCCCGGCTGTCCCAGGGCTTACCCCACTTCCTTAGACCTCTGGTCTTCCTAGACTTGTCTGTGCCCTCTTTAAGGAGCATACCTCCTCATCGCTCTGTAGTCTCTTGTTCTGCTGTCTCATGTTACTTCATAACTCATGTAACAGATTTATTATTTTGCCCCCAGACTGTGAGAGTGGTGGCTACTTCCTGTTACCCTGATATTCTCAGCACCCACAGTGCACAGCATGCTCTTAGTAAACAGTTGTTGCTAGGGGAAGGTACAAAAGGGTATGCATGATAGTAACAAGAATAAATCGATGAGCACCAGCACTTTGAATCATCCCTGGTAAGAGACAGGTGGTCTATAAACACCCCAGTGTAAGGAGGACTAAAAACAGTCACTGTGAAAAGTGGAGAGCTGATCCAATGGAAAGAGCCAGCACACTGATAGTGGACAGGGGCCACACGTGTGGCCAGGGGGCCTAAGCTCACACAACACCGATGCAGCAGTTCTGCAATGTCCCAGAAACACCTGGATGCTGGGAGTGACAGTGGAGGGCTGGCACACCCCAGTCTGGCTCGTGGCCAGCAGCAGGGCATGGGGCCAGGAAACCAGTGATCCTGGCACGAGGTGTTAAAGGGAGGGCCCCAAATCTTACCTGGAGCGGCATGAAGTAAAGACGGGAAGTCAGTGAGGGAGAGACGCTGGGAGCCACATAAAGTCAAGGGCAGTCACTCTTGGACAGTCAACTAAGAAACTGAAAAGAAAGAGACTATGGGTGAGGCATGGGACAACTGAAGCACAGCTTCCAAAGGGCCACGTCCGTGGGAGCACAATGCCTGACTCCCTGGCACAGCTGCCTCCCTGGGGTAGAACTCATTCAGGGGAAGGCAAAACTGCGGTCCAAACACTAAAGGCCCTGAGGAGCCAGGAGCATGGGCCTGCAGCAGAAAGAAGGGTGAGGAGGGCCGAGGGCTGTGGGCGTGGGAGCCACCCTGCTCTGCCTGGACGCAGCGGTAAAGAGCCGGCGAGACTCCCTTACCACTCCGAACCTCACCACTTGGCATTACAACTTGGCTTAGAATGAATTTCTTCCATATTAAGAGTAGGGGGAATTCTGATTTTAAGAGTAAGTTTGTTTCTTGCTGCTTGGCTGAGAACCCTGGGAATAAAAGAAACTTTGATGCAGTAGAGGGGAGAAAACAGACCGGAAGGAGACCATTGTGCCCAAAGTCATCTCTGGAATCCACCCCGTCGTCCTCAGCCTGGAATCTCAATAGAGCCTTCTACCTTACCCTGAACACACACTTATACTGACCTGCAATCAAAATGGCCTTAATGAAATACAAATTGCTATTGATATTTCTCTAACATAATGAAACATAAGTATCTCATTTCTAAACCAGTATCTTAATTGACAGAGAAACACTAAAAGGGTTCCTTATAAAGTAAGAAGTAAGACACGGATGCCTGCTGTATCTTACATGCTTATAAACAGTGTTGGAGACATTGGCTGATGCAAGAAGCCAATACAAATCCATTAGGCAAGAAAATAGATGCCATTTTCCTGTTTGTGAATGAAATGATTAAATAACTGATAAACTCGAGAGAATTAATGAAAAAATATAAATTGGGCAAAATAATTACAACATATCACAGATAAGGGGTTAATATTTTTATGTAGAAAGAACTTCTAAAAATAAAAAGAAAAATGCAAACATAATCCCATATGAAAATGGGCAAGTGATATGAAGAAAAGTTCATAGAAAAAGAATTGCAAATAGCTCTTAACCTATAAAAAGATTATCAACTTCACATATAACAGAGAAATTCCAATTAACCTTGCACTCTAATACTGTTTCCCAACTCTCAGATTGGCACCGCCCCCCAAGCTTGTTGACAGTGCTTTGGTGGGCAAAAGGGCGCAGCCCCGTGTGTGTGCAGGGGAAGGGTGGTTTAGCAATGTTTATGGAATGAAATGATACACGGGTTTCTCCCTTACTCAGAAGTCCCATTTCTAAGTATCCATTCCAGAGGTACACTGGCAAAGAAACAAAAGAATTGCAAAAGATTGTAATTGCAGCATTACTTGTAATAGCAAAATTGGAACTAACCAAAATGACCATCAAAAGTGAGCTGGGTGAATAATTAGGATGCTTTCACACAGTGAAGTACTATGTAGCTGTAAAAATGAGTGAGAAACATCTATGTGTATTACTATACAGTTGTCTCAAGAACATATTTTGAAATGAAAAAACAATGGGGTAAAAATGTGTGAAATGTGATGCTTATCTAAAAAGGTGGTGAAATGTGTATATTTATATGTACACACACAGAGATATACACATGTTATATAGCTTTATGTTTTCAGAAAAGAGAATTAGAAGGTTTGTCAGTAGGGAATAGGGCAAACAAAGATGATGGGTACGGGGCTCAGGCCACTTTGAAAAGTAAGTTGTTTCACAGATTTGACTTTGGAGCCATGTAAATATTTCTGCATATTATAAAACAAAATAAATTTTAAAAGCATTCCAAAGTGAGTGTGTTATTCAGACCTTCTCACCATCTAGCTTTTTCCCCATCTCCTGGCTCTCCCCATGTGTGCTCTGCTCCAAGACCATACGCTCCATGGGTTTGAGTCCTGGATTGCAGGATGCTCACGCTATCATTTTAGACAGATGCAGCTGGAGGAGCTCCCCAGTGCTGTCGCTTTCAGATTATCAGCTAACGGTCCCACTAGTTAGTGATATATATATATACATATATACACACACACACACACACACACACACACACATATATATATAGGCAAGTATCTATACAGAATTTGGGAGATTCCTTTTTATTGCAAATGATAAACAGTCCTGATGCACTTAGTCCCTCACATTTTAAAATGTAAATTTCTTCTTTTGTTTATACATTTTTCCAATGGGAGACTGCGGGGATCATTTTGCCCTAATCAGCGTTTAAAGTGCTCATCCTGAAAATACTGAGGGAGGCTCAGAGATTAGAGTGAGGTGGATACAGGGACATAATTCACTGTCTTAAAGGCCTTTGGCAACAGAGTGCAGAATAGAAATGTCAGCTGGTGGTTACAGTTAATGAATCTTCGGTACTCATTTAATTCTCCACTTAAAAATGACATTACAGGCTCATTTTTGAGGGTTGCATGGTTCCTCCAGGGGGATAGTCAGATTCTGAATCAAGTCCTGAGCCTCATTCAGAACTTTTCTGCCACAGGCTGACTTGAAGCTTTGGTGCCATGAATAATGACCCATACACGTCCCCAATGCCAGCAGACCAATCTAAGCTCACAGTAACCATCTGCCACAAGTGTGCCTGCGGTCACACCACTCTCTCTGTGCCACAGGTCCAGGATGCCCAGCCACTCGTGGATACCCATGCCCCACTGTCTCTCGGCCACTTCCACTTGAACCTCAAGAAGCTCAAGGTGTCTTTCAGTTTTACCTCTCAGCTACCATCATAGCTAACTAGAAAATGTCGACTTAAAAACCCAGGAAAATGGAACAGACAGACTCAGCGAGCAATAAACAAGTTATTATCAAAGTAAAATGCCGTCTAGGCAACCAATTAACCTTGTCACTGCTCCAAATGGAGCTGCGTGTTAATTGCTCCGGAAATCTCTCCCTAGTATTCCTGTTGATCCCCAATGTCTTCAGGAGAAGAGGGTGAGGGAGGAGAGGAAGTTCACAGTGGTAATTTACTTAGTGCAGTTCTATAGTAATTGATCGATTAGCATCATTTATTTATACCAGGCCGTTTCATGGCCACCTCAGATTATTTATTTTTCGAAGCTTAAACCATCTAGTGAAAGTAAGGGTCACATGGTTATGCTGGCAGTGATGCCTCCAGAGGCAGAGTGCTGCGTGCTCTTTACATGCTTGTTCAATAACAATAGCCTAAATGGGCAGAACAAATACTAAGGAACCAGTTTCAAGCCGATCAGAAGATCAATTAATTTAAAAACCTACAGCAAGAAAAATGTTGCTTCCTCTGGGTGTAAATTTTTTTTCTTCTGAACAGTGTAAAATATCTTCCTTAAAATCTAAAGCTTTCCTCATTAGTGTCACTGTCACGGGTCAGAGTTTTAGAGGGCAACCTAATTTCACAAAGAGACATATCATTCTTGCTGTTACTTTTGCTCCGAGCTTGTGAGATATGGCTCCATCCCGATGTCTTCCAGTTCAGGGACGAAGGGGCCAGTGCACGGAGCACTCACTGCTGAAGCTCGCTAAGGCAGCATTTGCCGACGCTGGGGGAGGCGAGGTGAAATTCACAGAGCAAAGTGTGGGGCTGAAAGGTTCCTTTGAGTCGATCAGTGCACAGTGGAGCACAGATGCAGTGGGCGCTTCTAAAGGCTCCTTGTGTGTCTGCCCACAGCTGGAGGAGGAGCGGCTCTCTGTCATAGACAGGGACAACCGCCTGCTGCTGCAGAAGCTGTCCTGCATCATGAGGACCAGGGGACAGACTGACAGCAGAAGCAACCACACACACAGGAGGTAACTGGGGCCCAGGCACCAAACCCGGAGGGACCTGGAGCACTTGGCTCCAGGGCCTGAACAGGAGCGTTGCCCATGCGCTAGAGTGAGGCATTTCTTCCTCTCTCAAGAGAGTCATATGCCAGAGAATTGCATTTTTCTCTGTGGCCCATGAATCAAAGTTTTACTTGAGATTCGGCTTCACTCTGGAGGGTCTGGGGCAGGTGGAGTCAGCCTGGGTGTCAGGAACATCCTACACTTCCTGCTTGTACTCACTGTCCAGTCACTGTCATTAAAACCTGCAGCTATGGGTCAGCCTCTGTTTTCCTGGGACAGTTTATGTTAAATCTAGCACCACTTTCTGCTTTAAAGGCAGATATTTAACCTAAGTATAGACTCTTTTTTCCAGTGTTGCTTACTTAAAGCTACAATGTAGGGGCCTAGGACAACAATTAACACAAGGGGTCACTCAGAGAGACGCTTACCAGCCAACTCCAGAGCTCGGAAGATTTTTACCCAGGGGGATAAGCAGACCATAAAACAGACTTCAACAGACTGTGGATCCCTCCCCAAAAAGAACTGACTTCATCTGCAGCAGAGTGCAGGGGAGTCCAAGCCCTACCGGGCATGAAATAAAAGTCATCCAAACTGGGAAGAAAGAAGTAAAGCTGTCTCTATTCACAGATGATATGATCTTGCATATAAAAAATCTTATAGAAACCTCTAAAAAAGTTATTAGAACTAATACACAAGTTCAACAATACAGCAAGATACAAGGTCAATATATATAATTAATTGCATTTTCATATATTTTCAATGAACAATCTGAAAATAAAATTATTAAAAGTAATTCTGTTCACAGAAATATCAAAGTGCCCATTGGTAAATGGATAGATTAAAAAACTGTGGTACATTTACACAATGGGATATTTACAGCAGAAAGAAAGAACTCCTAACTTTTGTAACAGCATGGATGGGACTGGAGACTATCATGCTGAGTGAAATCAGTAAAAGACAAACAGCATATGATCTCACTTATAAGAGGAATCTAATGAACAAAATAAACTAACCAGCGAAACAGAAGTCAAAACATGGAAGCATGGAGCAGACCGGCAGCTGCCAAAGGGGAGGTGAGAAGGGAATGGTGGAAAGAAGGGGAAGGGACTAATCAAAGAATACGTACGAATGACCCATGGACATGGACAACGGTGTCGGAGTGGGGCTGGGGCTGGGGCTGGGCAAAGGAGGGCAAAGGGAGAAAAACTGAGCAACTATAATAGGATAAACAAGAACAATTAAAGAATAAAAAAGGATCCCTGGCTGGTATATAGCTCAGTGGATTGAGCACGGGCCTGTGAACCAAAAAATTGTGGTTTGATTCCCAGTCAGGGCACATGCCTGGATTGCAGGCCAGGTCCCAGCAGGGGGTGCATGAGAGGCAACATTGATATACATTGATATTTCTCTCCCTCTCTCCTTCCCCTCATCTCTAAAGATAAATAAATAAAATCTTTTTAAATAGAGAATGGTAATCTTAAAAAAAGAATAAAAAAGGAAAAAAGTATAAAAAAGAATAAGAGACTTGTGAATAAATTTAACAAAGGATATGTAAAACGTTCTGAAAACTACAAAACATGGTTGAAATGAATCAAAGAAGATCTAAATAAATGGGAAAAAATCGCATGTTCATGGTTTGGGAGACTTGGTGTTAAGATAGCACTATTTCCCCAACTGACCCACACATTCAAGGAAACACCTATCAGAATCCCAGCTTACTTCTTTGCATAAATTGACAAGCTGGTTCTAATTATACGGAATTGAAAGAGACACCAAATAATCAAAGCAATCCTGAAAATTAAGAAGAATAAAGTAGGATGACTTATATGTCTTGATTTCAAAACTTACTACAAAGCAGTGATAATCAAAACAATGTGGAACTTGCATAAGGGCAGATATTTAGGTCAACGGGATAGAATTAAAGACTCCAGGCCCTGGCTGGTGTAGCTCAGTGGATTGAACGCAAACCTGCAAACCACATGATCGTGGTTCGATTCCCAGTCAGGGCACATGCCTGGGTTGCAGGCCAGTTCCCAGCAGGGGACTGACTCATGAGAGGCATCCATACATTGATATTTCTCTCCCTCTCTCCTTCCCTTCCCCTCTAAAGATAAATAAATAAAATCTTTTAAAAAAGACCCCAGAAATAAGCCCATATGTCTATAGCCAATTTATTTTCAACAAAGATGCCGTGACCACTGACTGGGGTAAAGAATAGCATTCCTCTATATTTATTTGTAAGGGAGTAAAGTTGGACTCTTACCTCATACCATATACATGAATTAACTCAAAATGGATCAAAGACCTACATGTCAAAGGTGAAACTATAAAACTCATAAAAGAAAACATAGAGGTGAATCTTCCTGACATCATATTTTCAATATTAGACATAACACCAAAAGCATGAACAACAAAAAAGAATATATACAAAGTTAATCAAAATTTAAAACTTTTGTGCTTCAAAGAACACTATCAAGAAAGTGAAAACACGGCCCACAAAATGGGAGAAAATATTTGCAAATCATGTATCTGATATGGGAATTGTATCTAGAATACATGAAGAACACTTACAGACTAATGATAGAAAGATAAATAATCTAGTTTTAAAAATTGGTAAAGGACCCTGGCTGCTGCGGTTCAGTGGATTGTGCACTGGCCTGCAAACTGAAAGGTCACCAGTTCAATTCCCAGTCAGGGCACATGCCTGGGCTGTGGGCATGGTCCCTGGGCTGGGGGCCTGCAAGAGGAAATGGATTGATGTTTCTCTCACACTATGATGTTTCCCTCCCTCTCTGTCTCCCTCCCCTCTCTCTAAAAGCAAATAAAATCTTTTAAAAAATGGGTGAAGAATCTGAATAGATATTTCCTCAAGCAAGTTATACAAAATACCAATACTCACATATAAAAATGCCCAATATTATCAGTCATCAGGGAAATGCAAGTCAAAACCACAATGTGATACTACTTTACACCCATTAGGTTGGCTAGAATCAAAAAGGCAGATAATAGCAAGTGTTGGTTAAGATGCAGAGAAAGTAGAACTCTCATCTACTGCTGGTGGGAATGAAAAATGTTATAGTCACTTTGGAAAGTGGTCTAGAAGTTCTTCAAATGATTAAACATAGAATTTCCATATGACTCAGCAATTCCATGCCTAGTTACATACACAAGAGAAATGAAAACATGTTTACAAGTATATAAATGTTGACAGTATGGAGGGCTACTGAGTTGGTAGTTAAAAGGTACAGGGATTCTTTTCAAGGGTGATGAAAATGTTCTCATCGTGCTGATGGTGGCACCTACCCAAGACACTCGTATGAGATCAGGAAGGACTTTTCATCTTAAAAGGATAATTAAGGCTCACTGCTGGGAAGATTACTGAACAGGAAGCACCAGCAATATCTGGTTTTCCACCTAGACTACAATTAACTAGCAGAATCTGTATGAAGTAACTATTTTGGAACTTTGGAGCCTTTAGGAAGCTTGTTGGTAAATTGCAGTTAATTTCAGCTCTTAGCAAAGTAGCAAATATCTATCCCCCACCTCCAGCCTTGGGACAAACAGCTGTGTACAGATCCTAGAGTAGCTTGTAGGAGCCAAAGTAGAAAAAAAAACCAACTTCCAAATATCAGGTCACTGATTGCTGCTTCTAATCCTCCATAGGCAGACGAAGAGATGGCATCCATTCTTGTTGCACCCACCCTTACTGTTGCAAGACCATCATAACTCCAGCTGAAGTGACGTCCAGGGAATTTAAAGGGTTGGCATCCTTTCTCCACCCTACCTTCATTTTTATTTCTCCCCTTTTGAGAGTCAGACATTAAAGACTAGGACATTCAAACACAAGTGCATATACATGGAAAATTAGAAAGTAACTGCATGACCAAGGAAAAGTTCAGAAAAGAAATAAGAAGACATTAAGTTTATATCTCAGGTTGATCTTTGACACAGAGACAGCTTACGGCAATAAAAAAATAAAAACCCCAGCAAACCCTGAAAAGAGGGGGAATCTGATTTCCAGAGTTATCATATTATTAGATCCAAATGTCCAGTTTCAACCCCAAATCACAAGGCATGCAAAGAAACAGGAGAAGAAAGCTCACTCAAAGGAGCAACAATAACAGCAACAAATATATCAATGAAACTTTGCCTTAAAAAGGCCTGTCAAAAATACTGGACTAAGACTTTTAAACAACTCTCTTAAAGATGCTCAAAAACCTAAAGAAAGGTGTGGAGAAAGTCAAGAAAATGATGTGTAAACAAAATGGAAGTATCAATAAAGATATAAAAATCCTAAAAAGAAATGAAAAGGGAATTATGGAGCTGAAAGATATAATAACAGAAATGAAAAAAATTTTTACTAGAGGTATTCAAAGACAGATTGGAGCAGGCAGAAGAGAGAAACAGTGTACTTGAAGATGAATCAATGTATATTACCAAATTTGAGAAACAGAATTAAAAAGATTGAAAAAGAAAGAAAGCGGCGACTAAGGAACTTATGGGACACCATAAAGTGGACCAACACATGCATTGCAGGAGTCCTGGAAGGAGGAAAGAAAGAAGAAGGGGCACAGAGAATATTTGAAGAAATTATGGCTAAAAACGCCCCAAGTTTGATCCAAGAAGCAAAATGAACTTCAAAAAACATAAACTCAGAGATACTCATGCCAAGACACATTATAATCACACTTTGGAAAGAAAAAGAGAATTTTGAAAGCAGCAAGAAAGAAATAAAATTCTCAATATATGAATCATCAGTAAGATCATCAGCAGATTTCTCATTGAGAACTTTGGAGGCTAGAGGCAATAGTCAGATATATTTAGAATGCTAAAAGAAAAAAGCTGTCAACCAAGAATCCTTTGTCTGCCAAATCTGCCCTTCAAAAGTAGAGAAATTAAGATACTTCCATATAAACAAAACTTGAGAGGGCTTCCAACCACTAGACCCTGCAAAGTGAATGAAAGGAC